TTTCATTCATATTTAATCTTATAACAAGTTTGAATTTTGAAAATTGAATATTAATGGTCTGCTTTTCAATTAAAAATGAATTTTTCCTTTTTACCAGCGGTTAATATTTCATTCGAGGTTTAATTTAATTTTCAGTCCCAATTTTAGGTAAATACCGGCGTTCATTGTTAATAGGTTCATAAGTGACCAGTCGACGGTTTACAGAAATATGATCTTGAAATCAATCAATCTGACTACTGAAAATCGAACCATGTGAGGAGATAACTCTTTGTCATATTATCTGAAATGTTTTCTTACGCCCCGCAAGACACCTTTCATTTTCTGTTGACTTTATGATTTGCGGGCTACATTGCAGGTGAACCAATATAATGAAAGATTACGGTACAAATTAAGTTTCGCTGATCTTAAAAGAATAAAAAGGACCCCTGCATATGAGACTGGTCTTAAAGAAAAAAAAATCCTTTTAAAAACCATGTATTTTTTCTATATAAGTAATATAATGTATAAGACATGCACAACGTAATTTTTTTAAAAGTTTTTTTCATTAACATTTCAGGTTGAATTTTTATTACAATGTACATATCAAAATATATATATGATAAATATAAAAATAATCTTACCCAGTACGAAACAAATAATTCCAATAAGTTCACATTTTAGTCGAAATCCGAAACTGAACCCACAGTAGCTTTGAATCTGTCTTTGGTTATTTAAATCCGATGGATTCTAAGACTGCCTATATTTAAAGAAATGCGTTGGGAAAAAACTCATTCATCTGTTATCTCGATTCCGCGTTTTTCTTGCCAATACCTTTTTGTTTATTTGTTTGTTTATATGTAAAGGTATGTCATTAATTTGAAATGCTACAAGAACCCGCTGTTTAAATTCTAATTGTTTCGATGTTGATTTCAGTGATATCCGAATTCCGGGGACCCGGTGCGGGATGGGCTTGATTTCATTGCGTCACTATCATCGCCTTGGTTCCAAATGTCAATATCCAAACAGGTGTCTTCATCCAAAGCGCTGGCCGAGATTGAGTCGCACTTTACTCTCCCAGTTTCTCAAATGAATTTGAAACCACGGAGGCTTTTGTCATGTTTGTTTATATTGGAACATCATTTTATACCAACTGGAGAAATACCGCATAAAATGTGTGCGTCCAATGTAATTAAAAAAACTGAGTAAAAACTTTTTATTTTAGTCGAATTATGAAAGATCGTATGCTGCATTTATGACAAAGTGACATGAATTCATTTTTTAGACATTGTGACCTTGTCTATTAGTTTACTGTCAGGCGAGATTTCAAACGGAAGAGCACCTCAATTGAATCTACGCTAAAGAAAGTGTGCAAAAAATTTTGGGTTAATTGACACACCACACTAAATCAAACAAAAAGAAAGTAATTTGAAGATTTTATTCACATATTTACATGTAATAAAGTGGTTTAGCATTTTTATTTTTAAATTTATTGTTTGAATTAAATTCAGTGCTTGTAAAGTTCTTTTACCACCAATTTCGAAACTACAGAGTTTAAAATTACAGGATACATGGTGGGGACGGGAATCAGGGCTAATATAGTCTAGTATTCGAGAAAGACGTTAGACGGAACATTCTAAAGCAGATAATTCAGGGATTGATAAAGACAAAATTTAACAATGACACCGCTAAGAAAAGCATTTCCTAGCAAAGAGTATAATTATAAATCAAGGCAGCATTCGACATCGAACCTGATGCAAATGTCGTCACTTCCGTTTCACACAAGACATACTGACACACACACACAAGCGTGTTACTATATCCCTTAAATAGTTATTTCTGTGCTTTGTTAACAAAAGCTAGCGATATGACACTTAATCTATAATTACCCATCAAACATCCGTAGAGAGACCTGTTGTAAACATTTTGATCATACCTGCTATTCAATCCTTACTCGTGTATCAATGAATAAAATATTTTTTTTAAAACAAGAGATGGAACGTTAGGAACAATCTTGTTTGTTACAGTGTACAATCAGCCATGTTACATGAGGATATTTAACATGAATTAGAAATGACTTGTTTTACATTACGTACAAGAGAATAGTTTGATACTGAATGTGGTTAGATACCGCGGGTAGCAATGACTAAAGGCTTTTGAATACTTATCTCACATGAACAAATGTTTGTTTTCAATGATTATATTTGCATCGAAATCTAATGATTGTGATAAACTTCGAAATAATCAACGAAAAAAGCACTCAAAGTGAATTACTTTTTGAAGTTTAAATTTTGGTATTTCTTTTCGCCCTTTTTCGCTTTAGAAATAATTGAAGTTGTGCAATAAAGATCATTTGCATTGGCAACAGCCCTTATTAATGAAATACGGGTTCACAGTTTATCACGCGTACCACACAACTAAGCAGTAAAACTAAGTCCATTTGTTCTCTGCCTTAAAGAACTTGATATCCATTCAATAATGGACAGGTTTGGTACAATGCAAGATCCGATTTGTATATTTTTGGCGATGACGTTTTGCATCCGCCCACCTTGTGGTAAGTTGGAGGACTGAGGAGTTGTAAACGTACCTTGGGATTAGATTACTATACATTGTGATGTCATAATAAATACGGCCATTCCCCCAGATAATACCAGAAAAAGTCCCCACAGCAGCAAAGGGCAATATCAGGGTATCAAAAATGAGTTATCATTTAAAAAGCGATGTCTGGGCCAAAGTAGAGATTATACCTATCATATACTAAATGAAGTCAACTCTTCTAAAGAAAATATCAAGTGATTAAAAGAAATTCTTTCACTTTTCATATACAGTCTAAGTAATGGTTTCTAGGTGTGTTACCAGTTTAATTATATTTTATAGATCAAACAGGCCTAGCCTTTACATTATTTTTATATATTGAAAAAAATCATGGTTAATATAATTTTTTTATTCTTCCATTAAGTAATTCATTTAATGTTTTATTGAGACAAGTTTTCCATAATTTATGGGCTAAATGCTGCATTGAATTTTAATGGACTTTATCCTGGTAACGCTCCGATCAATTTAATCCAATGAATTTGACATCGATCAGAGGGAAGAGGGAAGGGAATTGAATAAATAATAAAAGGTACTGTAACTCAACAACATGCAGATAATCCATCGACAGGCGAACCTCTCTGTGTTCAAACATTGATAATTTTATTGGGCTAAGTTTAAAGATCAACATGTATAATTATGCAACAAGCAATTAATTGATTTCATATTTCACTCCAGTGATAGTAAAAGTTTTCTTTTCAATTTTCCATCCCCTATTTCACATCTTTCGACATCTCTCATCGAAGAAACTCTACAAGTATGGTCAAAGAAATTCTTCAAGTGTGGTCAAAGAAACTCTTAAAATATGGTCAAAGAAATTCTTATAATATGGTCAAAGAATTCTTCAAGTGTGGTCAAAGAAACTCTTAAAATATGGTCAAGGAAACTCTTAAAATTTGGTCAAGGAAACTCTTCAAGTATGGTCAAAGAAACTCTTCAAGAAGTAGGACCAGTTCCTATTTTTTGTGAAAACCTTGAATAATTATTGATGGACATTGGAGATAAATGAACCATTTCTATAATGCATCACCTGTTCACAGAGTGGGAGGGGCATACAGTCTCTGGGATAAAAGTAACCGTTCTCTACGACACCATTGATATAAAAGTCTTGGCTTTTTGCATGCTAGATTGTTTTAGTACTTTAAACGTATAACACGTATGGGTCCCTGCATGCATGAATATGGCGGAACGGGTCGAGAGTGGGCGCAACCCCACCCCCTTGGATTACAGAGTTATTTTATTTCTACATAAAAGAAAGTTTTTACTTATCTTCCAATTATTTAAAGTTATCTTTAAGAACATACATCTAATAGATATATTGTTGATTTCTGAAATGGGATTTTTGAAATTATTGATGTACTATTCTTTGATGATTCGGCCTTGAAACGCCCATTCAGTTTATTACGTTTTAATCAGACTAGTAAACAAACACAATGAGATAATCACTCATCAATGTTAGCAATCAGATCTATTGCTCTGAGATCAACCTCAGGAAGCACGACATTTTCTTAAAACGTGTTGCGTAATTACAATTGCAGAATCAATGTGACGATCTTTTTTCCCATAGGCTTCTCAAATATTCGGTTCTGTGTTTGACTCATGTACTATTCTACCGAAGAGAAGGTAGCTTGAAATCAAGAACGACCCTTGCTGCCATATAACGGGACTCTCTGTTACAAAACAGGAGATCAGTAGGTCTCTTGGTCACCCATCACCTCTGTATGGCCAGGGATTGTCATTGATAGAGATTAAAATAATCGTATCTGAAGATCCTTTCAACTGACACACATTTGTTGATATATTTAACACCATTGTCTTTTTTGAAATTTCTGTCATGTCCTAAGATTCATCAAAGATGTTAAGGTATTTAAACAATCTGGAGCACAATGCAATAGTCAACCTGCTGACGTAAAGGTCGTGACCTCTCTCACAAAAACCACACACAACCAATCAATGATAAGCATCTAGGAAGGATAAACATAGGAACAATTGTTCGATCTCCATCAGTAAACAGAGAAAGAGTACACAAAGCTGGTCTACTCTGGACTGGGTCGAGGTAAGACGTGATTCGGTTCAGGAATGTACACCCTCCGAGACATACCAAACAAGTACTTCTTACCAGCTGCACCAAGGCCCACAAACACTGCGTATTTAATGCTGTCAATATTTTTGAGATTGTGTATATTTATTATATTTTTGTTGTTCTCGACAAACATCAAAGAGCTATTTTTGCTACCTATCAGTTTGGAACAATCGCGAAAAAAGTAGGCATATTCATTACGGTTAAATGTCTAACCAATACCATTCTGACCCAATACAAAAGACCACCAACCTAAAAAAAGATCTTTGAGTATGAAAAAAAACTTTTTTTCAAATTGATCCTCAAACTGATTCTTCAATAAACTCCACAATACTTTTTTGTGAAAAAAAGGTTAAAATTCATGTGTTTATTAATCTAATTTCAAGTATTGAATAATTCATACAGAAGTGAATCTCGGATTATTTATTTTTAACCCCTCTTCTGGAAGATGCTTATCCCTGAGACTGTCCATATAATAAATGATTCCTGGTTCTATTCAGAAACTTCGCTGATCGCCGATATCCTTCTCTGTCATATAAATTGACTGGTTTTATTCAGTGAACAATGGGTTTATTCAATTGAAAGAATGAAACAAAGATAGGATAAAAATGAATCGTTAGGCAGTGGAACAAGAGAATAATCTGCTTTATGGGACATTCACAGGCGACATGCAGTTCTCTTTGCCTACTGGTCTCAGTTCAGGATCCAAACCACTGCAAACCGCTTGTCCAAAGAAACAACTGGGGAAAAAGAAACTCAAAGTGAATAATTTTATTCAAAAAATAACCTCTTTATATAATGTTTTTAAGTATCTACTAAGTATACAATGTATAAATTTTTAGATGTATGTAAAATTCCTGTTCTCCGGATGGAAGTAAATATAAAAAGAAAAGGAATTTTGCATGGACTTTAATTCATCCTGGGTAAATTCAAATTTTGGAACATGACCTACATGTTAGGCAACAGAATAACTGTTTTAAAATGCGTGATATTTGATTAAATTATTTTTAAGCTTCAGCAATGAAAAAAATAGGTTTTTTAAGTCCATACACAATGTGCAATCACTGTACTCATCAGACACAAATAGACCTGAACGTCTTGGAAGCTTACCTGTTGCTATAAAGTTTTCCGTCAGACCCACATACCGGGTTATCGTCCTTTGTAGCACAATCAATTTTCTTCAGGTATTGACAGAGCTTAGATTCCAATATCGAATTAGCACTGATTGTAACTAAAAACAAAAATAAGGGATTTAAGGCATTATCAAAATTAAAAGTTGCAGCCCTTGAGAAAAAAAGCGTTACTTACCATGAACAAATAACACCAAAACTATTGTAAGACGGAAAAATAGAGTATTCATATTGACAGACACGATGCACAGCTGTTGTTAATTATAAATTCACCTTTCTAAAACAATTTGTTTGCATATTCGCATTGTTTAATGCGCTTAATTAATCACAAAAGGTGTACACAAGAGTGATACGTACGCTGACGAAACTAAGTGATGTGTTTGGGTCGCCTTAAGCAAGTGGTCATACATTATCTATATAGAGTGTGTATGTCCCTCTATATATATATACTGAGCATTTATATTTATTATAAACAGGCAGAGTGTCATATATATTCATTCTCCATTTCTATGTAGTGTTACTGAGTAAAAGAAAACACGAAAGATATATACATAATAAATACAAAGTAAATGTTAGAAATAAAAAAAATGGATAATCGAACAGGGGGGAGGAACTTCACCTTCCTTCCCTCCTTCTCCCCCCCCCCCAACTTCCAAGTACCCCTGCCACCCTTTTCCCATGTTACTCTCTTTTTCTTCATCCAATCCTTTATTTCAGTTTTTTTTTAAATTATAGATTATACATATGTCGAACATACTCTCAGTAATCCCATGCAATCCTTGGATACTTTTAGTGATATTAAGGGTAGATGTTGATGTTAAGCCCCCCCCCCCTCCCCCCGTTTTATGATATCATTGACTTTATAAAAATTTTGATAAAATTAGCGGGAAAACCCAAGAAAATTTCATGCACAACTAAAAAATAATTTTCAAAAAGTTTAAACATAAAAATACAAAATAGGCTGGTTAAAAACAAAACAAGACCGACTCAATATCGACTGAGTATCCTTTCTTTATCATCAACAGAGAATATATATAACAAGTACGTTTTTTCATAAAACCCTTTTTTCCCAGACTTTGATTTTAGAATCGTTTTTGAAAAAGGGAAGGACAGCAGGAAAAATAATTGACAACTTACCTGAAACATTTTTGTCAATAGATAATTGAATGAATGTTGCTTGTACATCACGTGTATATAATTTTGTTATTTTGTTTGTATTGGAGAGGACAATTTAAGTTCGTATAACTTGTGTCCAATACCATTGATTGTGTTCAGTAAAATATATTTAAATTAATTGATAATTAACTGATTAGTTGAATTTTAAAAAAAAAAAAAAAAAAAATTTTGCTATAGATGGAAACAAGATGTGTTTGTGAAACACCATGCGCCCGGCGGTAACAAAGTTAAAAAACATATTTTTAGCATATAGGTCACAGTCAAGGTCACAAGGTCATTGGTCATTGTCATTTGAAAGAACTTGATTAGTGAAGTATGCATACCAAATATGAAGTCTCTATCTCTCATGGTTCAAAAGTTATGGTGAATGTTCAAAAAAGCTATTTTTAGCATATAGGACACAGTCAAGGTCACAAGGCCATTGACCTTGGTATCATGTGAAAGGGATTAATTAGTGGAGCATGCCAAATATTACGTATCTATCTTTCTTCGTTCAAAAGTTATGGCGAAGATTAAAGTTTGTCGACAAAAATCTATATTTAGCGTATAAGTCAAAGTCAAGGTCACAAGGTCATTGACCATGGTGTCATTTAAAAGAGCTGTATCGGTGGTGTATGCATACAAAATATGAATTCTCTATCTTTTATGGTTCAAAAGTTATGGCGAAGGTTAAAGTTTGCAAAAAAAACTAATTTTAGCATATAGGTCACAGTCAAGGTCAAAGGTCATTGACCTTGGTGTCATTTGAAAGAGTTTAATTAGTGGAGTATGCATACCATATATGAAGTCTCTTTCATTCATGGTTCAAAAGTTATGATGAAGGTTAAAGTTTGCAGACAAACAGATAAACAGACAAACAGACAGGACAAAAACAATATACGCCTCGGATCTTTCGATCCAGGCGTATAAAAATTCATCGACATTCACATTACAGAGGTTTTTAAAACTAGTTAAAGAAGGTGCACCGGCCATTATTGTATTCTTAAATAACAGTAAAATATACCCAGGGAAAAGGTGAGGGGATTGGGGGATGAGACCCAACATACAACGTATATGCATATTGTATTTTGACAGGCGCCCTGGAAAAAATCTATTTCGTGTTTTGATAGCACCCCCTCTAGAACTCTTCTAAAACTCTTCAATAAAGAAGATAGAAAACTCAGTTATATAAATGGCGTGAAGGACTGTTTGTGTTCCTTTTACGTAAGCTGAGTGAATACATCTTCATTTAAAAAAAAAAAAATCTGACAGTATGTCAGATGCTGCAGTGAAACTAGCCAAATCAGCCGTAAGTGCAGTTTTATTTTATATAGTTTTATAGCTATGTTTGCCTGCATGTATGTCACTGTGTGTTGCATAACCATGCTGGCAGAGATTAAATTTTATTCTTTCCTCATCGTTATCCTTTTATGCCCCCGTTATCGAAGATTCGGGGGTATATAGTTTTTGCCCGTCCGTCTGTCTGTTCGTTCGCAAAAACTTGAACATTGCCCATAACCTGATAACTTTTAGAGTGGGTTGGGAATGGGATATGGCTTTTATATTTCACATGTGTATTCCTTGTTATAAGACCTTTCTTTTGCACGCCTGCTAATCGATCACTTGCACAACCAGCAGTTGTGTATAACAATCAAAGGAGATCGATTTCCGGTTGTGCATTTGATGCGAATAATTCCAGTACACAGGTAGTAAATTGACCCGATTCAGGCAATAATTGATATTTTTATTAAATATAAGAATGTGATTCCATGAGCAATTTATTTTTCTTTAATTTTACATTTTCAGAAAATGCAATGATCGTCGAATAGCGACTATATTTGTCTTGAAGCGAGGGCTGGTAGAGCGAAAACGCTGCTCGCCGACTAAAATTCGTTTTAATCTCAACTAACTATGAAAATTCAATGTCCACCATGAGTATGCTACAAGTGCATCCTATCCACCAAAATTGGGACTTCGATATGTGTATAATTTGACAAATATTCGAAGAAAATTACATTGCTTATGCATGCGATAATTCAGTTGTGAAAGAGATCTCGGGTTATGCATGAGATAAAGGACAAAAAGTTACTAAAGTATTAAACAATCTCCATAATTCACCTATTATACTATTTTATTTTTGGTAAATATAAAATTTTAAATATTGGCTATAATATGAAGACGTTGCAGGGGCAGATTCAGCAATTAAAAACAAGGGGGGGTGTCCAGGTGTCCAACACTCATGCATAGGCACTTCAAATCTGGCAACACTGAGTTTTCAACAATTCTATGGGGGACTTTGACTAGCCAAAAACAAACAAACAAACAAACAAATAAATATCGATTTATTTTTCCTTGTTTTTAAAACTGTGATTTCAAAATAATACTAACCGTATGTTCTTAACATATTCTTTCACTGTTTGACAACCAAACATTCCTCATGATTGCTCTTCGCTCTATCAATACATTTTTTTTCGGAGAGCTACAGATCTGCAGCTATTACATAGGGAAATTAATTTTAAAAACTTGCTTTAAACTGAGTATTTATTGTTGTTGTTTCATTTTCATTACCATTTCTAATTGGGTAATTAATAATATATGGTTATATAGAAAGAATTTACAATAGGTGTTCCCCATGAAAGGAAATCGTCATGATTTTGTGGATAATAATGAAGTGGTAAAAATTGCAAGGTGAATAAAAATTGAAAAAGTTTTTCAGCTACACTGTAGTAAAAATTGTTTTGAATGTGCTAAAAAGATTTTTCTTACATTTTTTCCATCATACTACGCGCCTTGATTAACCTACTGAAGAAACCATGGGTATTATCACGTGACAAAGATCCAGGGTTTCAGCATGTGGTTCAGAGACGTCTACATCTTCATTCATAAATTCTTATCATTCATCATTGACTTTTTTATACATTAATGACTCCTTTGGATGAACAAATGCACTAAAATTTATATTAAATTAAAAAAAACATTTTATTTATTTTTGCTTTGAAGACAGTCTGAAAAATATGATCTACCGATATTTCAGCTTTGAATATTTTGTGCTTTGCATTGATGCTTTTGAAATTGTGAAAGTACTAGTAATTTTTGAAATTATAAACTTTGCGGCCGATTTGATGCTTTGCATCAATTTTATTTGGAATGTATAATAGGGGTATTTTTTTATTGAACGATTATTTTGGGTTTTTGACGATTTTTCCCCCATGGTATACATGATGAATAAATGTAATAAATATAATTTGTGAGATAAAAAAGTGTCCAACAAGTCCGGGGTTGAATATCCGGGGGGGGGGGGGGGGGGGGGGGTCCTGTCCACAAGCACCTGTGATGTGGTGTTGTCATCTTGATCCTTTCCATCTCGATAACAAAATTCAGGATACCTAGCTTCAAAACACCAGGAAATACTTACCCCATGACAAACGCATATCATCGAGAGCCTGCCTCTTATTTTTTCACAGACAACACTTTTTACTAAAAAATATATATGAAATGAAAGTATGAAAAATCTAACCACACTTCTGTCGCAGTACCGTCAAATAGAGGTAAGGTATGCTTGAGTTAAACAATTTCGTACTGAAAGAAGTTGATATATATGCTGGGTTTTTTTTAATTATATTTTTTCTTTTTTATTATTATTATAATTTTTTTTTTTTTTGCATATGGAATAGTCATATTAAAGATGCATTGGAAAATTCACACAAGATTTATGATCTAAATAATACACACATAATTTTTTTAACGTAATTATATTGATTGTAACTGAAACTTTAACCCCCTCCCCTAACAGATCTACTTCAACAGTTTACTTATCTTTTATATCTTTTTTTCTCACAGATTCAAGTTATTTGCAAGAAAATCCTATGATTTTACTTTTTAAATTTTGCAAGACTACGTTATAATTATATTATGTTAAATTTTATTCATAAAGTTTGAAACTTTTTGTCCTTCATCTCATGCATAACCCGAGATCTCTTTCACAACTGAATGATCGCATGCATAGGCAATGTAATTTTCTTCGAATATTTGTCAAATTATACACATATCGAAGTCCCAATTTTGGTGGATATGATGCACATGTAGCATACTCATGGTGGACATTGAATTTTCAAGGTTAGTTGAGATTAAAACGAATTCTAGTCGACAATACTATTTTCAATCAGCGTTTTCGCTCTACCAGCCCTCGCTTCAAAACAAATATAGTCGCTATTCGACGATCATTGCATTTTCTGAAAGTGTAAAATTAAAGAAAAATAAATTGCTCATGGAATCACATTCTTATATTTTAATAAAAATATCAATTATTGCCTGAATCGGGTCAATTTACTACCTGTGTACTGGAATTATTCGCATCAAATGCACAACCGGAAATCGATCTCCTTTGATTGTTATACACAACTGCTGGTTGTGCAAGTGATCGATTAGCAGGCGTATTTTGGTACCACCAAATTTGACCTCTTGACCTTGGAGTTTGATCTACCTTTACCAATAATTGCAGAACTTTAGTCTGACATGGCCATAACTTTTGAATAGTTGGTGTTATGGCTTTCATTTTTCACCAGGTCCAGTCCAAAGACTATTTCTACCTACGTAGCTATTAATAGCTACCTAGGTATTTAAAGCTACCAAAAGTAGCTATTTTTACCTACTTTATATAATTTCTGCATTTTGCGACCAAAGGACCAAACGGCGCAACATGGTAAATACCATATTTTTTTGATATGGTCACACTAATGATGAATACGACAAAAAATTTGCCAAAAAATGATTACTTCCTGAATCGGCAATTTAACATTAGTTTATGCAAAATTGATAATATACGAATTTTCATTTTTTAAATTTTTGTCATATAATTATTCATCATTGTGACTTTCAGAAATTGTATGCTCACCATGTTGGCTGATTTGGCTACAAAATGGCAGAAAGGTAAAAATAGCTACTTTGGGTAGCTTTAAATACCTACGTAGCCAGGGGTTTTCCTACCATTTTTTAACTGGGTCCGGGGTCCATAGAATTGGGAAAATTGATGCGAAATGCAATTAAATTGGGAAAATTTTAAAAAGGACCAATTTTGTTATATTCCCATATAAATGAAAATGAAGGGGTCTGTGTTACAATAGAGTAAACAACAGTAGACAGATATTAAGAGTTACACATTATTCAGCTGTTCTTGGATGATAAAAAAAATGATATAGCTCGATGATATGATTGCATGTTGACACCTATTGAGATTTTCAGACGTCTTGCAGGGAAACAAAGTATTGTACTTCTTTCTGAACTCGTTGAAAAAAATTAAGTATACAAAATTGGGAAAAAAAGATTCAGAATTGGGAAAATATGGCTGATTTTTTGATTGGGAATTTAAACTCAAAAACAATTGAAAACCCCAGGTAGCTATTAATACCTACGTAGGTAGAAATAGTCTTTGGACTGAACCTGTTCACAGGTGATTTCCTTGTGCAAGACCTTTCATTGGGTATAAAAATATTTGACTCTATGACCTTGACCCTAGAGTTTGGCCCACTTTAAAAAACGTTAAACATTACTTTTGAACCCTTAGTATTAGAGCTTTAATTCATATTTCACAGGTGTATTTGTAGAGACAAGACCTTCCTTTGCGTACCAGCAATTTAGACTTTTTGACATTGACCTTAGAGTTTGACCACTTTAAAAACTTAAACCTTGACCATAACTTTTTAACTGTGAGTACCAGGGCTTCCAAATTTTGACCTTGACCTCTGAGTTTATCTTGCATTTGAGAAATTTCAACCCTTGCCACGTTAGGCTAGCTATCATACGGGGCATCAGTGTTTCACATGTCAGACACATCTTGTTTTCAGTGTTACAACATAATTTGATAAATTTTTAAAAATTTTAAAAATGGAGTCTCTAGAATGTACTCCATAGCAAGTTTTTTTATAACAGGAGTGAAGAAAAATGCAGTGGACTAGAACAGGATTCGAACCTTGCCTCCCTAAGTCTAGTCAGTGCTCTACCAACTGCGCTCTCAGGCCACTTGTGATTGAAATCTAACCACACATTCCTCCTTCATAAGAATGGTCAATCTAGGCTTTTTCCTGACAGATCATCTTTAACCAGTCACTTATAAAGTGACTATAAAGTGACTCTTGAAAGAGTTCAAGGGCATTGCATGGTACCAAATGTAATGGGAGATGAGGCTAATGCAGGGAGCAGACCGGAATTTGATTTTTGGCCCCTTGAATCTCCAGTCAGGTGCTCTGCCATTGAGCTATCTGGCTGCCAGTGACCGAAACCTGTCTGAATTCCAGATACACTGTAGTAAACACTATATTCTGTCCCAAATACTTTGATGAGCTTATTTTCACTGTTCCACTCTTTAATCCTCTTTTTTTAGTGAGGCTGAGATGAAAAGTGTCACTGTACTGAGCTTGACAATTTTAATGATCCTCAAGTTTTCATTGAACACAACCAAATCATTGAATTTCTAGAGGTTCACTGCAAACAAACAAGCTGTAAGCCTATATGAAGCAGTCATAAACTTTGATTTATGTATCAGTGTAAAATGTTATAAACCTTTTATTTTTATTTCAGAAGCGGCTGAAGGACATGGCAGTTATAGTTTCTGGGGCCGCCATTACATTTGCTGGGTACTCTATTTATGAAGGAAATGAGAAGTTTTATCGTGAGATCCTAATGCCCCTGACACACAAATGTTTTGATGCAGAGACAGCTCACAGACTTGGTGTCCTAGCAGCCAAGTATAATATTGTTCCTCGTAAGCAGAAAAAACCAGACTCACCAATTTTGGTATGTTTTCTTTCTTTTTTAGTCCAATTTAGAATTTTAAAAGGAATCTCTCAAAGTGCATCCTTTATAAGCTCTTGCTAATAATGTTTCAATCAATCTTTTTTATCCAGATACAACTATTAACTCAACCACTGTCTACATTGAAATCAGTGCAAGCTTTTTTATTTCAACTATGCATATTGAGATGAGAATTGAAGATTACGTTATTTACTTATTAGGTATAAAGCCTCAGCTTAGATTTACTTCAATGGATATTTGGACTGACACCTACATTGACCAAAGAATTATCAGTCTAATTATCCAGTCATTAACATTTGTCTAATCAAGTTCTGATGGCTTTGACCACCTTATGTATCTTGATAAAGTCTTTAAGTGTGCATAGCTGAGAGAAAAAAAAAGTCTGCTTCACTAGGACTGTAGAGGAACCTGGCCCCAAGACCATAAACTGAGAACAGACTTAAGTCAACATTTCAAATCAATATAACTTGAAAAAGGATATAAAATAATTTTGATAAAAAATAAAATTTTCATAATATTTTTTAATTGGCACATGAATTTTTCAAAATTTGACTTTTGTGGGGGAAAATATACAATTGCAAAATTTTAAGCCAATTCATTGAATGAAATTTAAAATATTAAAAATCAAAATTTTGACTTAAGCCAGTTCTCCATTTATGGTCTTGGGCCCAGCACTTTGATCTTACCTACCATTATAAAGGCTCTCTAACCACTGGGCCAATGTAAAAATTTTGTTACATCTTACTGAGACTTTAAAAAAAAAGTCTGTTTCCTATTAATATAATACATATGTACCAGATTTATACTTCACAATGTCAAGAGTTCACAAAGTCAGTAAATTGTCAAGTACATATATGATACATTTATATTTTTTTTAGCAAAGTTTTTCTTACTCAATGTTAGGCTCAAAGGTATCTTTTGTGCACCTGTTGAGCATGTCAGCAAAAGAATAGAGAGTTGTCATTCATTTTTCTTCCCAACATTTCTTAACTGATATTCCAAGGATTCTTTCAAATTTTACTAGTAGTTCTATATCTTCTTAGTAAATGATTGATTGTATATTGTTAAACGTCCCTTTCCAGAATTTTCACTCATATGGAGACGCCGCCACTTGTAGGTGGAGAGCTGCAAATTTGTCCTGTACTCGGCACTCGGCCATTGAACATGGAGGGCATTTTCATGCCAGCACATACTGCAACACGGGACCTCGGTTTTTACTGTCTCATCCGTAGGACCAGTCTCCACATCCCACAGTGGGATTCAAACCCATGACATAAGGATCAACACATTATCTTAGTTAATATCTATCTTTAAAGACAATAGATAGATCAAGCAATGAAATATACTGAATTTTGATATTTAAAGAAAAAAACACATTTTTTTTTTATCATTTTAATATCACAATAAGCCAGTGACAGGTAGATGTTTGAATGAATGATGAATTGATGATAGATATTGTAAGGAAATATGGTTGATATGCCTGGAGACTATCAAAAAAATTAAATGCACAATGAAATTACTTGAAGTTCTGTTTGAAGAATTTTATGGTACATGTATGTCTTTTTCATCTTGGCATTTGTCATAGAGTTTCATCTTTGTGTTGCTAGACTATTAGGTTTATACACAGAGGCATTTGATTGAGCAAGAGGTGGATTTCCTATTATAATGTCAGCTGCTTTTTCTGCAATCATGATGGTGGGAGCATTCAGATTTCCACTGACAACACTGGGCATGATGGAGGCATCTACCACTCTTAGTCCCTCCACACCATAAACCCTCATAGTCTCAGGATCAACCACTGCCATAGGGTCAGAATCAGCTCCCATCTTACAAGTACAGGATGGATGATAGGCAGTTTCACTCATATTGCGATTAAATTCGTCTATTTCTTTATCAGATTTTACATTCTCCCCTGGCGTTAGTTCAGGTCCTCTATAAGGGTCGAATGCTTTCTGTTGAAAAAGTTCCCTAGTCAACTTAATGCAGTCTCTCATCTGCTTGATGTCTTGTTCAGTTGTTAAGTAGTTGGGCACAATCCTAGGATGTTGCTTGGGGTCAGGGGACTTCAGCTTGATGAACCCTCTGCTTGTGGGCCTTAAGATTTGTACATGTGCTTGATAAGCATGCCTATCACCAGATTGTCTTCCGTGATCATTAATTATGGAAGCTAGAAAATGATACTGAACATTAGGATGTTCAATACCAGCCTCGCTACGTATGAAGGCTCCTGTATCAAAGTGATTGGTTGCTCCATCCCCTGTCTGCCAGAGGAACCACTCCAAGCCAATCTTAATCATCACATGAGGATACTTCCACTGAGCTTTATAAAGTGTGATTGGTTGTTTGCATTCTTGTTGTAAAATCACTTCTACATGATCCTGGAGATTCTCACCAACTCCTGGCAGATGCTGAATGACTGGAATGTCTAATTTATGAAGATCATCAGCATTTCCAATCCCAGAAAGCATCAGAAGCTGTGGAGAATTGACTGCCCCACCACAAAGAATGATTTCTTCTCCATAAACGCTATGAGCATCAGAGCCCTTGCCATATTCAATCCCCACTGCTTTCTTACCATCAAATATGATATGTCTGGCTAAAACTCCATTTTCTGTGATCAAGTTAGATCTCTTTTTAACAGGATGTAAATAGGCTGCTGCAGCACTGCATCTTTTACCTTTGTGAATGGTCATATCCATCCATCCAAAGCCTTCTTGTTGGAACCCATTCAAGTCCTCTGACTTAGGATAACCAGCCTGCACACCAGCATCAATAAAAGCCTGATGTAGGGGGTTCTTTGACTTTCCCTGCAGAACATGAAGGGGGCCTTCACTACCTCGATAGTCATTTGCTCCAAGGATGTGACATTGAGCTTTACGAAAATATGGTAAACAATTGGCATAAGACCATCCTTTGGCCCCTTCTTTCTCCCACCTGTCATAGTCAAAGGCATGTCCTCGGACGTAAACCATGGCATTGAGGGAAGATGACCCTCCCCAAACTCTCCCTCGCGGCCAGTACATGACACGGTTATTCATGCCCTTCTCTGGTTCAGTGTGGTAGTACCAGTTGTATTTGTCATCACAGAGATTGTACATCAGAGCAGCAGGCATATAAATCTTCCAGGAGTCCCAGTGCCACAAGTCTTTTGGTCCTACCTCTAGCAGGAGAACCTTTTTGTTGGGATCTTTCGTTAGGCGGTTTGCCAGTGTACACCCAGCAGAGCCAGCTCCAACTATAATATAGTCATATTTCTGACTTTTAGCCAGCTTTGCCAAATGAGGACTAGATGTACTAAAGTTTCTATGAGGTTGATGCTGATATGAACCTGGAGCTGCAGCAGTAACATTTCCAGTTAAAGTTTTCTTATCTTTGTCTTGTTCTTGTTGCCCAGGTTCAGTTGCTTGTTTATCTTCTTTGAGGATTACATCAATAAGGCCATCTATACTGGGAAGAAGGCAGTCAGCATGTGGTTTTAGTTCCTCCTCTGTCCCTATCCCTGACAACACTCCTATTCTCTTCATCACAAATGCCGACTCTCCCATCTGAAGATCTCCAACAGAATCGCCTACAACAACGGCCTTTTCTGGACTCACATGCAACTCATCACAGATCAGCAGAGTGTTGTGACCTGAGGGACGAGGCTGAGAGATAGGGTCATCTCCACAAATCAGCATGTCTATATAATTAGTCAGACCCAGATTCAACAGGTCCAAAACAACAAATTCCCTTGGTTCTCCTGTGTTGATGGCAATTTTCACTCCCTTTTGTTTAAGCTCTCTGAACATTTCCTCCATATTGGAACACAGCGGGGTTGGCTCAGACTTCAAGATGAATTCTCCTTCCTGCCAGATTTGGTTCACTAGTATGATTGCCTCCTGATAGGAGATTCCCTCCCTCCTTAAGGCCTCCACAACCACCCCCCGGGCCTCAGAGGGTGTTCCCTCAGTCAGCACCCCATGCATCATCCGGGTTGAATTTTGATTTAATCCCAGAAGCTTGGTCAACTTTTCCATCATCTCTAAGCCTGTCATACTCTTCAACCTTGTAAATGTAAATAAATATTTTTTAAAAGCTTTAATAAATTAAACCATAACTTTGAACTAGATCTTCTCAAACTAAGAACAAAAAGTCTCTCATTAAAAAGTACAGATATTTTAGGAATTGATATTCTTTACCTTGAACAAAAGAACTCCACAAACTTTGGGTATTTTCTATGAATGCAGATAAGTGTTCCATGGAGATCAAATATCACCAGGTCCACTGGAGCTTTTTCTATGGTGGGATTTCGGTTATGATCTTTTGGTTTTACCAGGAGCCTTTTATTTGATGAATAAGCATAAGAACTCTGCCAGTCTTCAAAAGGCATGATCAGTGGTAGAATGTCCTCAATGTCCTCAACAATGTGGTCTGCGTGGGGCAGTAAGTCCCCAGTCTGCCCCACCCCACTTAGCACCCCCACACTCCACCCTAGTTTGGCGGACTTCCCTAGAAGCATGTCTGTTTTGGTGTCCCCCACCATCACTGTGTCTGCAGGGTCTACTCCTAACTTCTCACAGATCTTGAGAGCATTGTAAGGAGAAGGCTTTGGTTCTGAGTCGGGATCATCCCCACAAATCACATACTCAAAGTACTCTGTGAGGCCAAGTTCATCTAGTAATTCATCAGTACCCTTGCGATTGTCTGATGTGATAAGGGCTATTTTGACATTATTTTTCTGTAAAATTTTGAACAGTGTTTCTAGTTCCCCTATTTTTTTGAGTTCCTCAGGGTTTCTGACGTTTCCTTCTGTCCAAACACGTTCAAGAATTTTCTTCACATCTGCTTCATTCATCCCTTCTGCTACTAACATTTTTGTCATTTCAACCTATGATAGAAGATGTACAATACAGAAATTCACAGATATTCTTCTTGTAATTAATTATACCAGCTTTACCCCAAATTTATCTAATATTTAATGAAGAGGAATTCCAGCAACTATTTCAGATAAACAAAGTAGAGCAGTGTAATGATATAAGCACCTTAATTTGAGGTGTAGTAGCCTCAGCTAACATGCCTGGTACCAATTTCTGCTGTTTTGTACAGAACCCCAGAATGTCATACAGTTTGTTCTCTATCCCTGACAGACCTGCTGCCTCCTGAAGCCTAAATAGTAAAAAATGCAAGCATGAGTATTCATAAGTTATGTACAAGTTTTATTTTGCAACTTTAAATATTTACATGTGCATCTTTAAATTTAATAGAAAATCTTCAAGAATAGTCTAAGAAGAGTTATCTCTCTTATCCAACAGCTTCATTTGACAAATTTCTTTGCTCTTTGAGTAACGTACTCTTGCAGCTGACTAACTCAGTAACTGCAAATTTGTAGCTCTCTTGTCTGTTAATTCTGGGATAAGCAGAAAAGATCTTTTCATCTATCCAAAACCAAATTTCAGACTAGAGTACATCATATCTACACCTATTGCTAAATTAAATTAACATTTTTTCCCTGTAAATTCACCTCACTTCAATACAAACCTGGTCCTTTAGGAAGGGAGATTACAGTACTAAGTAGAACATATAATAACATTAACATGTGTAATTTTCTGTACCTGACCACAAATTTCTTGGTCCAGGGTATCCACAGTGACTGAAAGTCAATGAGAGTGCCATCCTTGTCAAAGATGACCAGCAAGGCCTTCTTTGTTTTATCGGTCCGGAGTTTGACATTTTTAAATGTTCCTCTTCCCTCGGACAAAGTGGAGGATCTAGAGATGAAATCTCCCTTCGTCTTTGGTCTGGGTGCATTGTCTGCAATGATGGAGATAGAATTCGTTTTTTAAAAATTAGTATCTAGTCAATTTTAACAGAAAAATATTATAGTAACTGCTGTTGCAAGTATTGCATAATGACCTTCTAGATCTGTTACTTACATTAAAAAAAGAATCTTTTTAAAATAATTTAACAATAGATATTTAGTAAACTTAATTTAAATTTTCAAGTCAAGAGTAAAAAAAAAAATTGTCCATATTTGATTCTTCAAGTGTATTCACAGTATAGTAGTATAATCACCAGATTTCTCAAAAATTCCATCTCGCTTATATATGACAAATACTTAGATGTCACGAAAATTTGGTAATTTATAGTTGCTTTTATGAGATTGAGAATATTTTCATGGATCAGTCCTATCATAATGTTGATAATTATATTTCCCAAATCGTGCATTTTTAGTGAAAGACTTGGCCATTTTATTTACATTTTTTGCGTGATTGCTCCCTCCCGGTCAGTATTGAGTGGACACACCTGGAATGTGTAAATCTCTGAGAGGAACTGGTCAAAAGTCTGCACAGTGTACTCCTGACAAACATGTCCTCACTTTTGTCCTTTCCCTCTCTTCACCTGCAAAAACCAAGCAAAAATTGTTTGACAAGCAAGAAAAGTTATTAGACATAGACAGTGTTTCAGGTCAGGCACGTGTGCTTGCATCCATAAAGTCTAGCTTTGGCTTTTGTAGTATAAATTATATCATTCCAACCCACCATGTTCCAATGGCCATGGAAATTACATTCTTTATACAGTATTACATGTACTTTGTTTAATATTAATAGTATTTATTTAGGTTTTAGACAATATTACCTGAGTTGTGTAATTATCCAGATTTATCAGGCAGATACCTAGTAAAGACGTTCAAGCTACCTGTTATAGTAAATGAAATTGGATTTATCTGTAGGATTTTCACACGATGTAAAACCTTCAAAACAAATTTGATACTTACATAAACAGTCAAGGTACACAGAATGGAGTGCATTTGATGACACCTGATCACATCTTTAATGTTTTTCCCTTATAAAAGAATGTGAATCAGATGCTCATTATTTGGGACATATAGTGCTCCTGATAAGATAATCAGTCCCGTCAGAACTTTGTAGGATTGATATGTAGCACACATGCTTGATATGACCGGTACCAGTTTTATGTGGGGATAAAAACAAATTTGACCTTGCTGATATTTAAATGACATGTGTGGACAGAGTGACCAGAAAGGGAACTCTAATCTCAGATATATTAACTTGAAATCTTTTTGCATGACTTGTAGACATGTATTTGGTTTATCAAGTGATTTAGAGAATTAGTAAGCACCTTGTTCCTTTTCAAATTTGCATAAAATAGGTAAGTTGTACTTAATCAGTGGAGGTCTAAATTAATTTAGCTGTTTTCCCTTTGGTGACTTACAGTTTCAACAGGTATGGTAACAGAGGTGGATCCAAGATTTCAAGTAATAGTGTGCAAAAATTAAAATGGTTGATAAAGTTTGCGAATTGATGAATTGAACATATTTTTAATATTGACAAAGTCAAAAGGATCGGACACAGATTCAGTAACTTAGATAGTCCTCTCCTAATACCGGTATAACATTTTGTAAAATTGCCAAAATAAAAGAAACATATATACATATGGTCTACTACATACATTGTATACATCGTAGCAATAGAAAGGAATAAATTCTTTAAATGTACAAATATATTTTGAGATGATGAGAAAAAAAAAGTAAATTGATATATAATGAAACACTCTCGCTAAATGTATGAATTATGAACTTATGTTGAACTTCACATTTACCCCCGGTAGCAAGTATTTCCTCCTAATTTGGAACCTTAAATTGGCAAAGTAACAATAAAAAGTTGTATACATGTTCCAGGGAAGGATGAAAAAAGTTTTCATTATTGTTGGAATACTAATAATAAGTTGAATATTGAATGCACTGTAATTAATTAATAAATTAATTGGTGTCAAGTATACATATTTTTAGGTCACCTGAGTAAACTCAGGTGACCTATTGCTATCTGTTTTCGTCCGTCGTCGTTGTGCGTTGTGCGTTAACATTTGAACATTTTCAGCTTCTTCTCTGCAACCGCTCAACCAACTTCAACCAAATTTGGTATAAAGCATCTATGGGTGAAGGGGAACAACAATTGTGAATTTCATGATCCCTGCCCCCCTGGGGCCTGACGGGTGGGGCCAAAACCACTAAAATTAATGCAATCTTTAAAAATCTTCTTCTCTACTCCTGGGCATCAAGCAGTCAAACTGTTTGCATGATTATAATCAGCATTGAGCCCTCTACCAAAATTGTGAAATTCATGGCCCTTGGGCTCAGAGTTCAGGCTCAAGGGTGGGGTACGTCAAGGTTGGCTGTATGAACGTTGAAAATGCATAATTTATTATATCTTTTCCTTCAAACTCCCAAATTTCAAGAAGGGTAAATGTTTTATGATTATATTGAACAATGAGTTCTCAACTAAAGTTGTAAAATCTATGGCCCCTTATGGTTCAGGGTTTGATCATGTCCCAGGGTCGGACTAATTGAAATGTAACTTTGTAAATAATTTTGTAATAAATGAAAATGTAATTTAAAAAAATGAAATAATTTTTCTATATTGTGATGTGAAAGCAGTAAAATGTTGACATGAATAACCTTCAACACTGTGGAATGTATGACTCCTCGGTCTTGGGTCCAGGCCCCAGGGCAGGGCTAAGTCAAATATGCACTGTTTTGGATTTTTAAGGAGCATTTTCATCACAATGGAAAATAAAGTTATATGTAACAAATGTTTATGTGATGTTTTATGTTTTTAAACAATATCTTTTATTCATTCACGGAAGGAAGAAAACAATTGTAATTTTTTTTTGCGACAGTTTGGCCTAATCACCCGGTGTTTAGGCCTACCATTAGAAGAGTGTTGGTAAATGGGTAAGCAAACCTGAACCGGAGCAAATGAAATAACCGGGTCTGGTAGCGAATTTTATAAAATTTCTCTCTTAATACTTTAACATTGAACTAAAATTTTGTCTGTTATAGGTTTATTTGTATTCGCTACAGATAAAATTTGGAAATTGAAAAATTGCAGTCAGCTCCGGTTATTAATTTTACCCCGGCCCGGGTTCGCCAACCCATTTTACCAACACTCTCATATTAGAACGTCCACGCATGCGTAAAAGCGATCGTCTGGAGGAAGCTTCGAAGACTTGATTGAGTGTCCTGAATATTTACAAAATTAACGTTTTTTACAGGTCTAGGTTTAGCATTTCGAACGGTGGGTTTGAGTGTTACGGTTTTTAGGGTTACATAGTATGAAATATTACGTGCTTTTTCGAATACATCGCATTCTTTTTGTTATCCATTATATTCGTTTTAGCTTTGTTATGGCTTAGGCCTATGGCGGAGAAGCTGCAGCACCGAAGGAAACGTTCGTTCGAACGGTGTTGAATTAGCATTTTATGTGGAGTAATAAATTATGTGCATAGATGTTAATTATTATTTGTTATTTTTACGTATTTTCACTATTTTTTATTAGATATAGATTGTTAAATAAGGTTAAATCTTTGAATTGTTCCAAGATTTTTATTGGCAACGGGAAATTTCGTCCCTATTGAAGATTGGAACAGAGACTTTATATGTATATGGTTCATTCTTATATTTGTGTGTATAATCATAATTTACCTATTAAGTATTAGATGGAATGTTCTATCGTTAACATGATAAAGGTCCTACAAGGGTTTGTCACCAGATATAGTAAGATTATTTTAAATAAGTATAGTTGCTTTGATTAAACTACTCAAAAAAAGATGTTCATTATTTTTTCAGTTTATTCTTTAAGTTTGTATTTATCAATTCATTTATTCCTGCACTTGGTAGTTACAGGATGGTTCGCACCTATGCAGGGTTTGCCCTTCACTGTTTTGCACCAACTCTGTTTTGGGCTGAGATTGTTCACCTTAAATTGTTTCACTAAAAATATTTAAATGTGCTCCTGAGTTAATTTCCAGCTGTCCAAAGATATTTTTTTGAACATTTTTTTTTAATTCAAGAAGATGAAATATTTGAAGCAGAGACGTAAATAATTTATGTGTCTGTATTTAAAGTATACAAAGCGTAACAATGAATTATTTTAACACAATGCTAATTCTATTACCGCCATCTAATTGGGTAATTATTGCTGGCTTGGATAACCCAACGTCAATCAACAATATAAATGATATAAAATAAATTCTCTCCTTATGATCTGGTTGCACACGGTCCGCTACATTTGGCATTGCATATTTAGTCATGAATTTGAACACACAACATACATTTATATCATATACTTGATAAATAATGGATCCAAATGTGATTGAATATTAACTATAAAACATGAGATGTTATGCACTGATATAGGCACGAACCATCTCAGCATGAAACAGAATCGGTGCAAAACATTCAGGATTCCACTTGGCTAGTTAGAATAATCTAACTGTGTCTCGGTACAAGCCCTCACCACAGTTAGAATACCACCCATATACTCGCAATGTAGCAAAAAATTGCAGAATCGCACCGAAACGATTTTGAAGGATACAAACGGATTTGCACTGAAAATAACTTATAAATTAATCAAAACAAACCTTTTTGAATTTGCTTATGTTTTTTATCCCAAAAAATAATCCATACAAATACGAAAATCCAATTAATTTTCTTAATGTTTTTCTCTGGATTCAAATTACCTGCCATGTTTACATTCGGAACTCTCTAGATTGTTCCTAGTAAATGCACTATGCGAGTTATCGCCCGTGTTTCTTTTGCTAAATTACGAACACACGGAACGAATTCTATCGTTAAACCGGGTCCGTAGGACAATATCATTTTAACGATAGAACATTCTATCTACCACTTGGCTACTAGCAAATAAGTATATATAAATATGTTTATTCAGGAATCTTAATATATGAAAACACTTAAATAATTTACAGACTCTCAGAGCAGTTTGGCAAATGAAATTACTGGTATGCTTATAAGTATTCATGAGTGCAGGACAAAATTAACTCTCCAAATACACAGCTTACAATATTAATTCAATAATTGCTTGTATAAAAAAATAAACTTATTATTTCCAGAGAGTACTTGCAATTTTATAAGGTTTTTAACATAACGCAATGTTACTTCTGTTTAAAATATAATGTCAATGTGAACATATGTAACTTCACTGTTTTACAGTAAAACTTCCCAAGTATGAACAGGGATATTGTGAATTCACAAATATAGATAGTGTTAAATCTAGACCCTAAAAAGGGCATGGTAATCAAGGAATCAAAAGGGCACTTTGTGTCGCGACAGGATCTCACGAGGGCACTTTTTAAACAAATGTTAATGTGTTAAAAATTATATTAAACATTTATTTATTTTTACATACTTTAACATTTTTAATTACTTTAATTTAATATCCTTTCATATTGAAATCTTTATTTAAACAAGTAATTTAAAGATAGATTCAATTGCATATATCTGTATTCCATTCATTCATTTTTTTAAATACCAACACATTAATTAGCACACTTGGGCTACATGACAATTATTGAAACAATAAGAATATAAAAAAAGGCATTAATTTTACATCCAAATTCTATAATCAACAAAGTTTTAAGGATACACTTGAGAAAGTAATGGTATTAATCTAGCTGAAACATCTGCAAAAATTATTAAAGTTTGGAGGTATGATTTATTTTTACCTGCTTGGACTGTTTTATTTGTGTACTAGCACAGTCAATTTAGACATTAAATGAAAAAAGGGGGAGGGGCATTTTTAAAAATACATGAAAAATACACCATTCTCTTTACTTGGAAAATATTCTACCAACAAGATCAAGTGAAAACTGTTCTTACTCCCAAAAAAATTGATTGCCATGTATAATTTGTTTAAAAAAAACTTTGGCTTTAATTAGAAACATTGACCCTCAGCTTGTCAAATCTATCAGTTCAATTAAAGAAACTAACTTAGTTTATTGTTTTATGTTTTTAAGCCTTTTTATCACATTACATTCAGTGTTTTATTACACTGTAATTATTTTATTCAGCTAAAATATCCGTTTTTTCTTCAAGTTCAACTATGTGTTTTTTTTTACACTTTCGGTTTAAAAAAACGATCCTGATTTTAATTAGTTAATAATTTACAAGTTAATTTGTCTTTGGTCTTGGGCTAATTCTTGCATAATCAATGCAATCAATTGACAGTTTC